GTGCCCCGCGCCTCTTGTGGGGGGATGTGTGGGGGGGGGTTTGGGTGGTGGGGGGGGGGGGGGGGGGGCTGGGAAGAGTTGAATTCAAGCCTGAAAATATGGTTGTATAGTTTCACAAGCAAGCACACGGGAATCAAACCCTGTCTCTAAACTGTATAACAGTGATGCCACAGCAGCAACAGCACTCCCCTGTGACCCAACTTGTTCGTGAGGTGATCCGACAGCAGAGGTTAAATTGGAACAAGGAAAAAGCCTGTGAAGTCTGACAAAGAAGGCACCCTTCACCGGGGAGGGAAACAATCCCATTTCAAGACAACAGAAGATGCACGAATGCCACGACCCTGAATGTTGCACGCACCTTGAAAAAAAAAAAAAAAAGTTTGAAAGAAAAACTAAAGAAATGCTAATGTGCCATCCATTTGCATGAGACATTTGGCCATGCATTGAAGCCATTTTATGAGATCAATGTAATTTAAAGCTTCACACAAGATTCGCCAGATTCAGACATCTGTCGAGTGTGAGCATGTGTGTAGAAAAATCTCTCTCAGCATTATTTCTTGAAATCTTTTTCATTTTATGCCTTTTCACCTTCAGATTTCTCGCAGATCTAAGTGGAATGAAAGAGCAAAAAGCTTTATTCAGCCATACAAGGAGGAAAGTGCACTTGCATTAAAGAATTGCAATTATTTTTCTTCTCTTTTCGTCTGTTATTTTTTCTTTTTTTCTTTTGCAGAAACTGGAATAAATATGATTGAGGGTTGGACATAAATCAGCCCAGCAGAGCAGGTCCATTAACTCAACCCACACAAACGATAAGTACACCTTCATTGTCTCACATAATATGAGACAAGATGGAGTTAAGCATGCAAATGAAGTGAAGAAATGTTCAGGTATACAAACGTACTGCTCTGGGTTATTTATTTTTTTTTAACCTTGAAACATTCTATCACAATTCTGAATAGGTTGGTTAAGCAATGTAAGCAAGTCTGAAAATAAATGCAAATGTTAACGGAAATTACTCAAAATAGAGAGAACAAAGTGAAAATAATAAAAAAAAGTAAACATCTTTGGAGATGTTGAGGATTTTCTTCAAGCGTCCTTGCTCGGTGCCATTTGCAGCTTCTAATATCTACTTTCCTTTTGTACCGTTGGACCTCTCACAAACTTCTTAAAAAAAGGACAAATCCTTAATAACTTTGCTTCAATGTGAATTTACGAACGGATTTTCCATTGAGAACTGGTCTGATTTCTTCCAAGGATTTAAAACAACTGCAAAGGGGGAAGGAGAAAAAAAATCCTACTGCGGTCGTGTGCAGCGTTATTTCCCCTGATACCATAACTTTCAACAATAGATATGTGCAAATAATGTTACTCTCGCGTCAAAAACTAGTTACGGGGCGGACATTTGATTTAAGATGCATATAACGCTTCATAAAACTTGCAAAAAAAAAAAATCAGACCGATTGCTATGATCGATGAGCTAAATCACTCATGATTGATCACTCAGTGACTCTCCAGCTTGTAAGATCAATATGCACAGTCCTCATTTTTTCATATTCAGCCACTTTTTTTGTGGGGGGGGGATAATTTGCTCTCGTCTTAGCGCCGCCGCCGCCGCCACAGCAGCAGCTGAAAGCGGCGACAAACAAGGTGCTCAACACTTACCGATCAGCATCGTGCTTCCAGGAGCGTGTCCGGCTGCCTCCTGCTCGGCGTATCACCTTGCGTAAAAGTCGGTGTGAATTTTTTTACGCACTTTTTATCCCCTGGGAGACAGGACACGCACGGCGCGCAGGTGCGACGTGGAGACTTCCTATAGTCGCGCGGGGGGCTCGAAATATGCCAGAGTCGCTTCTTGGCGACTTCTTTCCTCTCTTCTTATTTTTTTTTTTTTTTTTTGCTGTATGTATCCTTTCCTGTATGTCTGGTCACCAATCCACTCGAAATATCCCACCAATGCGCGTTCCTCTCAAGTCAAAATCCGCACGCTGGTGCCGCTGCTCCGCTTTGCCTGAAGGAGGCGAGGAATGGGTTTGTTGGAGAGAAGCTGAGCGCATTTGTCTGCTCCTTCTCTCGCTCTCCCTTTGCTCTGACTCTCCTTGTCATCCCTTTCTCTCTGTCCTACCTCTTCCCCCTTCTTCATTTCAGTCAGCTCCTTTACCTTGGCTTCTATGTTATTCGCACTCCTCAAACCTGACCGACTTGGCAATACTGTAGGTTTGAGATACCCCTATGTTCTTTCAGTTGATATGTGGGGGGAGGAGGGGGGGGGTAGATGAGTGGTGATAGAAGCATCACCGAGGATTGTTAAATATAAAGAGGGAGAAAACATTATTTTCTGAGATAACATTCCATTTGTGCTCCTAAAAAAAAAAAAAAAAAAAGATGATTTGTCTGCACTTCTCCAGCTGCCTTGTGTGCATGACAGTGTGTAAGTGAGAGTGGTTGCGAGTGATGGTTTTTCACAGCCATCTCTCTTGCCAGCTCGCTACTCCTCAGTGTGTTCTCTTGTTGGTGGGTCTTTTTGGTGAAGCTGACAAAATATCCCAGGGTTTGGAATTGACTCAGCTTTTTAGCTTTTTGGAGCCAGAACCAAACAAATAAGTCCAAAAAGGTTTGTGTGTTTGTCTAAAATCCTTATGCCTTGTGGAAGTATTCAGACTCCAATCATATTTTCTCCCCCACAGCCACAAACATCAATTATTGTCTTTACTAGCTGTAAAGTGGTAAAGTGGAAGGGAAAAAAGATGCATTGTTGTCAATATATTTTTTTTTATAAAGGAAATCTGAAAAGTAAGGTTTCCATTTGCATTCAGTCCCCTCTACTCTGATACCCTTAAATGAATTGCAGTGCATTCACCTGCTTGTAATTTAATCCCAGTATAAATTCAGCTATTCTGTTAAGAGAACATTAGCAAATAAACTAATAGTTATAAAAATAAAACAACCCATCATTTGAACATTTGAAGAGTTCAGAGAATCGTCTTGAAATCATTGTGGCACAACTGCAAAAAATTTGCTATGGCATATCCTTCCACCAAAGCTAAGAGGCTTGGCAAGCAAGTCAAGCACTAATTTGCCTTTAAGAGAAGACAGACAAGAAGAAAACCACTGTTGAAAGCCGTAATATGTAATAATGACTATTGGGTATTGACTTGGGAGTGTCTGGACGCTGTGTAGAAATATGTGCCACATTTCCATGCTTTCGTTTATGAAGAAGGTTTAAAACCATACATAATTTCCCTTCTATTTCACAATGCCAGTGTGCGGTTGGAGCATGACAGAACGTACACATTTTCAAGAGGAATGAATACTTTCACCAGGGATGGTGAGGATCTTTTGCTCTATGCTAAGCTGTCTCGGAGTCGGGCCAAAACCAATCATCTAGGGTGTTATCAGGAACCTAATTACACTATTAAACTGCTCATTCTTCATCTCAAAATTCCCTTCGTTTCCTCTTTTCTCCGCCTTTGTTAACTCCCTCTCATTTTGCAGACCACTCTCTCCTCAAACTGCACATCCATCTATATTTGTGCCCCCTTAAACTCAACACTCCACATTTTTCCATTTTCCTACATTTGCTGGTTTGGCAAAAAATGCCAGCTGCTGTGCTCATGCCGTCATTGCAGGGGGAGGCTTTCTATTGCATCTGTGTCCAATGTGTTTCACCTGCCTCTGTCTAATTTCACACTTGTCTACTGCTAATCAATGCACAATGCTCGTTCCTAGCCAGTTTGTTATCATGTACCTCAGTCTGCAGATGCACTACAAAGTGTGAAAGTGAAGCATGGCAGCAGGGACAGGTTGTAATGATCAGACTGCTGATGGAGAGTTCCTTTTAAGCCATGAAATATTGGCTCTGACAGCGTGCTACGTGGGGCGTGAGCCGCCTTTCTCCTCCGATCCAGGTTCCTGTTCGTTGCCGCTCACAGAGGGCAGCAGCGGTCCCAGAAATCTCTCTCCCCGAGGCAGAGCAAGGCATACAGGGGCAGCTGGGCTGTCCCACTGCCTCATGCCAACCGCCGGCCTGCGGGCTGGCATGTCGGAGCCAGGGCTAATTAGAAACATGGGAACGACTCCAGGCCTGACATCGGCGAGCCTCAGCCAAAATGATTTGTTCTAGCCTATTTGTTTGAAGGATAGAAGACGAGCACAGCTGCACGTCAGCGCAAATTTTAAAACTGTTAAATGTAAAGAAAAAGAAGAAAAAAAAAAACAGTTATCGATCTAAATTGTCCTCAAAGAACAAGACTTAAAATCTGAAAGCATCAACTATAGATTTGCTACAAATTCATTTTAAAAGGTGTTTTTTATATGTTACCAACAAAAGAGCTTAAATCCATCTTATTCCTGGTGGCGCTGCTGTAATATTGATTTTGTCAGTTTCTTCCTGTATGATAAGGGTAGCTTCAGTAAAATGGTTTGTTTTGGTACCTTATCACATACACTGAGCTGCATTTTTGAAGAAACTGTTTGGGGCTGCACTTTTAATCAGATGAAGCTTAAAGCTTTAGACATACCTTCACAGGCCAGACTTTATGAGATAACTTAGAAGAGAACACGACTCCTTTCAGGACGTCTACTGTAACTCCATGGAGCATTCAAGTCAAATCGCTCTAGATCAGTGGTTCCCAAACTTTTTCTTCTGCGCCCCCCATAGACACCAACATCGGTAGCCTACAAGGTACTTGTTAAGCTTAAGGTTCTGTATTGATGTTAACTAGTCATCTTTTAGCTAACATTACCTGCATCCAACAGCTTTACTCAACTCAGTCGGTTAGTTTGGAGGGAAAAACTGTGAAAAGTTCTTTGCGTTTTGCTGCCGTGATTCTAACACAAACCTACGTAGCTCCGCACAGCAGCAGCAGGTCTCCTTCACAGGTGGAAACCCAGCGAGCGTTGTAGCACTCATGTTGCGTTTAAAGGCGGCTCGGAAAAACAGGTTACAACATGTTAACAACGGATTAAACAGTTTTAACTGCTGATAAAAGTGACAGAGGACACAAATATGGGTAGTGTGGAAGCCTCTACTGTATCAAATTGACATAGGAATAGTTGGGCATTCTAAGGTAAAAACCCAGCGCATACAGTGTTCATGTTTTTTTTTTTTTTCCATCCAGACGGCTTCCCGCGCCCCCCTGTAATGACACGGCGCCCCCCTTAGGGGGCGCGCCCCACAGTTTGGGAACCTCTGCTCNAGATTATATATTNAAGTAGCACTAAAACAAATTAATGAATAGTATTCATAATAAAATCTCAATTTGGCACTTTCTAAGTAACATTTTAATCACTCCAAGATAAACACCAGACCCGTCTTTATAGTAGATATTTGAAATACTGCAATTTAATAAGATGTAATTGTCAGAACAAGATTTGAGTCTAAATCTTTGCGGAAGAAAATTTTAAATTTGCTATTTGAGGTTAGATTCTTTAATTTTTGACTCTTCTGATTTGTTTCCAACCAGGCCAAGGAATCTAAAAGTAACTGAATAAGATTAAACAGTGTTGTCTGACTTTCTTATTATTTTGAATACAATGCTTTTCCTTAGTAAATGATGTTAGTTTTTTTTTGTATGAACATAAAAATCAACTGTCCTAGCCCTTATTGCTCACACTGAATATCCACAGTGTTCCAATCAAATTTAATTCTGACTTTTTGCATTCTGCTGTCCATGGTACTGGACAGTGAGTTAATGATTAAAAACAAAACATTCAAAAAGGTGATCCAGGAGATTAGTCTCATAACTTTAACCTGCTGTTATTCAATGCGTTGCTAACATTGCTGATACATGATTTTATATCTTATTGCATTTAAAAAAAAACTATAGATGTGAGTGGTCAAAATAAAAAGTAAAACCAATTTACAACAATAGAAAAAAAATGGTCAGTTATGTTATATAACGAGTGTTGAATCAGATTTAAAAATGTAACTTTATTAATTTAAAATAATCAAATGCGAGGTTAGCTGTAATGTGTCATTAGGTTAACATTATTCAGCCTTAAAACTCTGCACAGATGCACCCAGCCCTGACAGTACTGCTAGCTAAAAAGAAAGCATGTTCATAGATTCACTTCCGAGACATTGACTGTCACCAGGGTCTCTGTGTGCAGCTGAACGTTAAACCTCAGTGAATTGTGGACAATAGTTACTCCACAAAAAAAA